AGGATGGGATGGGATAGGATGGGATGGGATGGGATAATAAGATGGGATGGGATGGGATAGGATGGGACAGGATGGGATGGGATGATAGGATGGGATGGGATGGGATAGGATGGGACGGGATGGGATGGGATAATAGGATAGGATGGGATGGGATAATGGGATGGGATGGGATGGGATAATGGGATGGGATGGGATGGGATGATGGGATGGGATGGGATAGGATGAGATAATAGGATAGGATGGGATGGGATGATGGGATAATGGGATAGGATGGGATGGGAGCTGTTCCAGGCCAGGACTGTCACCCCCACGGAATGTCTCTCCCACCTCCTCTTGCAGGAATTATTTCCACCTGCCCTACCTGGAGAAGAAGCCGTGCATTTACATCCGGAGCTGGTGGCAGGACCAGCGGCGCCGGCTCTACAACGCCAACATCATGGACAAGATCGCCGACAAACTGGTCAGGGGTGGACAGGGGTGGACAGGGAGGGGTGGAGGGATGGGGGGACACAGCTGGGACACACGGGGCTGGCACGAGGCACAGCCACATCCGGGAGGTGCAAAGCAGGGAGAGACAGCGCCTGGAAAAGGGGAAAATTCCCCAAATTCCAGCGGCTCCTTGAGAATTCTGTGGGTGAGATCCAGATGTTCCCACAAAAGGGAACAGAGGTGCAGAGGCTTTGTCACCTGACCTGGAGGGGTGATGAACTCACATGGCAGAGCCAGGGAAGGGAAAGCTCCAGGGAGAGCTCAAAGCCCCTTCCAGAGCCTAAAGGAGCTCCAGGAAAGCTGGAGAGGGACTGGGGACAAGCCTGGAGGGACAGGAGAATGGGGAATGGGTACAAACTGGAAAAGGGGAGATTTGGGCGGGATATTGGGATGGAATTCTTCCCTGTGAGGGTGGGGAGGTGCACAGGCTCCAATGGATGGGCTTTGGAACAACCTGGGGTAGTGGAGTTGGAATTCAATGATTCCCACCCAAACCCTTCCGTCATTTTACGATTAAGTCTCAGCTCATTCCCAAGGAGCCTTTGGGAGAGCTCCACACTGGCAGGGTCACAGCAGGATCTGGGAAGGGTCCCCCTGGCAGGTCCCTCCAAGAGGGTTTGGATCTTCCCAACTCCAGCTCATTCCTTGAGGGCACCAGAGCCGTTCCCAGCGCCCAGAGCTGGGTGCCTGGACATGTTCCAGGACAGCAGCCGGGGTTTCCCTGGATGTGGGGTTGGATTAGGGGGGTTCTCCCGGCCCTCCCACCCCTCACGGTGTCCCCGTTGGCGCTGCAGGAGGAGGGGCTCAATGACGTGCAGGAGATGATCAAGACGGAGAAGCCGCACCCGGAGCGCCGGCTCCGAGGGGTCCTGGAGGAGCTGAGCAGCGGCTGCCTGTGAGTGACACGGGGGCAGGGAGGCACCGTGGAAAACCAGGGTCACTTTCCTGGTAATTTTATGAGGTTTAAATTAAAAAAAAAAAAAAAAAAAAGGCAATAAGAGACAAACAATAAAGCAAAAGGTTATAGGGCCGCGTGTTTTCGGCATTCAGCCAAAAGCACACACTAACTCATAAAATTCTTCATTAAATTCATCAACACGTTGCATAGTCATTGATCTTCATGCATTATTCAAAATTATCCCCCCCCCACCCCGTCCATCCTGTCAATACTCCCTGATAACTGAAGATCAATGAATTCCTTCCCCGAGGTTCTGGTGTCCCTCACTGATAATCCAAGAATGTGAAGAATTTCCTGATTCTCTTTTTTCTTTTTATCATTCTCTGCGTTAGTTACATGAACAAAAGCTTTTTACATCACCATGTTGTAGTCCAAGAAAGACATATTTATCACATTATTATTTCTAAGTTTTGTTAATAGCAGAACTAAAAGAAACTATATTCATACAGGAAAATTTTCCAACATTATACATACAGCATTCAATTCAGTGTTTGTGAAAAGACAATAATGTGTGCTCATAACAGCACCCTGTGGGTCCCTGCTCCCACTGGGCAAGGCTGGCACTGCCACCTCACCGTGACCGTGTCCTTGGGATGATGGGACAGCATTCCCTGACCCTGGCACGATGCCAATGGATTTTTTTTTTTGCCTTGGGCTGGAGCGCGGTGCTTCCACCTCCATCCCAAACACCCCAAAGCAGGAGTGGGAACCTCAATCCCGTGGCCTCCACAGGCTGGTGGCACCTGGTGACACCTCGTGTCCCTTCCTGGCTCTGAGCCCGTGGTGTGAACCGACCTCTGGTTTTGTTGGAAATGGTTGGAAATTTCCTGCCGGCCTTTTCCCGCAGGCGCTTCCTGACCTTGGCTGACAAGGACCAGCACCACTCGTCCCGCACGAGGCTGGACCGGGAGAGGCTCAAATCCTGCATGAGGGAACTGGTGAGTGGAGTCCTGTCCCTAAAGGGGCTCCAGGAGAGCTGGGGAGGGACTTGGCATGAGGGATGGAGGGACAGGACACAGGGAATGGCTCCCAGTGCCAGAGGGCAGGGCTGGATGGGATCTTGGGCAGGAATTGTTCCCTGGAAGAGTGGCACTTTGGGAATAGTGGAGGAGGATTCCTGAGCTGAGGCTGGAATTTGGTCCATGGGCATGCTGGTTTCCCTGTGGGTTGAGGTTTTTGGGATTTAATTCCGAGCAGAGGAGCCCAAAGCCCATTGGGGTCTCACTCAAGTCCCAGGTGTCACCTGGGCCTCTGCTGCCTCCCCTCCACCAGACTCTGGAAAGAAATTCAGGACCACAGAGGAGCTGGAAAGGGGAATTTTGGGAACCCCACAGGGCAGATCTGTCCCAGGGACAGAGGTTTGGGGGTGATTTTGGGAACCCTGGAAGGCTGAGCTGCTCCAGGGACAGAAGTCTGGGGGTGGTGGCCCCGCTCCTTGCCAAGGATGTGCAGCAGAGAGCCAGGAATTGTTGCATTCCACACACTCACACGGAAGCTCCAAGGGTCAGGTGCTGGGTGACAGCAGGACAGGCTCCTTCCTTAAGCCACCCCAAAATTCTCCAAGCTCAGGTGACACCTCTGTGGTGCCATCTTCTCCTGGGCTGTCTCTGCCCTCTCAGGGGCTCTCCCATACCAAACAAAACAACAAGAGGGAGTCTGAAGGGTTCCACCCCGGCCTGGTGGGATTGAGGCGCCGTCCCTTGGTCCGAGCTGTGTCCTGATGTCCTGGCTGTCCCCACAGGAGAACATGGCCCAGCAGGCCACGGCCCTGCGCTCCCAGGTCAAGAGGAACACCATGAAGGACAAGCTGAAGCTGGTGCAGAATTTCCTGCAGAAGCTGCGGTTCCTGGCGGATGAGGTGGGTGCCTCACGGGCAGAGAGGGCTCTGGTTGGGGCAGCTCGTGGAGACTGAAATCTGGGATGGGATGGGATGGGATGGGATGGGATGGGATGGGATGGGATGGGATGGATTCATGGATTCATGAATTCATGGATGGATGGACGGATTCATGAATTCATGGATGGATGGGATGGATGGATTTATGGATGGATGGATGGGATGGATGGATTCATGAATTCATGGATGGATGGGATGGATGGATTCATGAATTCATGGATGGATTCATGGGTGGATTCATGGATGGATTCATGGATGGTTGGAGGGATGAATCCATGGAGGGAAAGATGGATGGACAGAGGGATGGATCCATGAAGTGAAAGATGGACAGAGAGATGGATGGAGGGAAGGATGGATGGATTCATGGATGGATCCATAGATGGAGGGATTGGATGATGGATGGATGGATGGATGGATGGATGGATGGATGGATGGATGGATGGAGACCTCCAAGGCCAGGAGGTCCCTCTGCAAGGACCTATTCCAAGTCCATGAGCTGCCCCATGATCCCTGTGCACTCCTGGGTGGGAATGAGCCGATGTAAAAGAAGTTTAAGAGTTTCCCAAGCAAGGACAGAGCTGGGTCCTCCCAGCAGAACTGGAGATGTTTCAGCCAGTCCCAGCCATTGAGGGATCCTGTGGATCCCTGGGAAATCAGGAATTGGAAGGTGACACATCAAATCCCTGACTGGTTTGGGTGGGGAGAGATTTTAAATCCCACCCAGTTCCAACCCCCACACCTCCCAGTGTGCCAGGAATGTCCAGCCTGGCCTTGGGCACTGCCAGGGATCCAGGGGCAGCCACAGCTGCTCTGGGCACCCTGTGCCAGCCCTGCCCACCCTGCCAGGGAACAATTCCTGCCCAAGATCCCATCCAGCCCTGCCCTGGGGCACTGGCAGCCATTCCCTGTGTCCTGTCCCTCCAGGCCTTGTCCCCAGTCCCTCTCCAGCTCTCCTGGAGCCCCTTTAGGCTCTGGAATGATTCCATGACATTTTTCCACTTTAGGACTGGCTCAGAGGGGGCACTTTGCCCTCCCTGGAGCTGCAGCTGTTCCACCTCCTGCTTCCATTCCCCATGGAAGGCTCTGAGCTCCATCCCTGGTTACAGCCAGGCCTTCCTTGGCCCTGACCCAAATTTGGGATGTGACGACCCCTGTCCAGACTGGGAACTTTTCCCCTAGAGAGGGATGAAGGAATGGCTGCTGCCCTCCCCTCCCCAAGGCCACTGAAGGAGCAGAGAAGGAAAACTTTGTTTTCTATGCCCAAATTTATATTTTTTTAAACTTTAACCAATATAAATCCCAGTTCCTTTCCTGACGAGCTTAGCTCTGAGCAGCTTTTTATGAGTGGGAATCTCAAAACAATTCCAGCGCCCCAGCAGGCACATCCATCTTCCATGGAATCTGCTGGATTTGCCTCCAGCAGGTCTCCAGCCCCACCAGCGCCTCAGTGGGCAGAGCTGGGGCACTGACAGGGCTCTCCTGTGGCATTCCCAGCCCCAGCACACCATTCCCGACGTTTTCATCTGGATGATGAGCAACAACAAGCGCATCGCCTACGCCCGCATCCCTTCCAAGGACATCCTGTACTCCATCGTGGACGAGGAGATGGGCAAGGACTGCGCCAAAGTGAAGACTGTTTTCCTCAAGGTGAGGATCCCTCTGTCCCAGGGGAGCTGCAGAAAAGAGGAGGGAATGTGGGAGATGAGGATGAGAGTCTTGTATCCATTTTTTTTTTTCTGGGGTTTGAATATTGGAAAACTCTGGTGGTAGGGGTGGAAATCTGCTCCTAGGGAGGGTGAAGCACTGACCTTACCCAGCCTGGTATGTGGGAACTGTTTGGAAAGAGAGAGGGATGTTTGATCCAGCTGGAAATCCAGGGAATTTCCAGCTTAAGAAAAGGAAAACCACAGTGGGAAGAAGACAGATAAGAGCCAGAGCAGTGTCATGATCCCATAGGATCCTTGGATTTAAGGAACAGCAGAGGTGTTCCAAGAAGGGTCAGTCCATATTCCCAATATCCGTGTGAACTCTTCCATTGCTCAGCTGCCCGGGAAGAGGGGGTTTGGCCCCGCTGGCTGGACAGTCCAGGCCAAGATGGAGATCTACCTGTGGCTGGGCCTCAACAAGCAGCGCAAGGACTTCCTGAGCGGCCTCCCCTGTGGGTTCGAGGAGAAGAAAGTCCCCCGAGGCCAAAACCTGCCCTCCTTCCCACCCATCAGCCTCTTGTACACCAGTAAGGAGTTCCCATGGGATTGGGCACGGAGAGGGAGGAGGGAGGGAGCCTGGCTGGATACCCCCCGGTCTAAGCACTTCCAGGAGATAAGGGGAAAATGATTCTGGTTGTCCCAGGAGAGCTGGGAGGTTGGGAATTGTGTCCCCTCCTATCCCAACCCTATTCAGAGTTGTCGTTGTGCACACGACCAGCAGGATGCCAAGGAAATCTGTATCCATTCAGGATTCACGCTTTGAGTTGAGATCCTTTACCCATGAGCAAAACCAGGCTCCTGAGACATCCCTGGGATGGGCTCTGTCTTGGTTTGAAAGACAGGTGTCTGCTAAGGAAGGCAGGAGCCTCTCTTGAAATGGAAAATGCAAACCTCCTCCCTCCAAATTATTATGATTTTGAAATTAAGGAGCTCTCGGGCAAAGATATGGGAAGAGGAATAACAGGTTTTTTACTAGGAAAATTAAAATAAAAAAATACGGTAATAAAAAAAAATCCAAAACACTGCCAGAGTCAGAATCCAAGCTGACCCCCCATCAGATGTGACAGATGTGGTTCTGCTGGAGCAGGGCTCCTGCACAAGGTGCAGTTTTCCTCCAAAGCTGCAGGGATGATGTGCAAGGCTCTGGTTTTCCTCTGGGATCCAGTGGGAAAAGGCTGCTCTGCTGTTCCAAATCTCCCCTTTGATCTGGGTAGGAAATGCTCGGCTCCTGCCCTGGCTGGAGCATCTCCCCATGGGATGATGGAATTTGATCAGCCCTGCCCTGGGACTGCATGGCCATGGACAGGAGAGATCTCCTGGAGGGAGGATGGGCTGTGGGCAAGAGAAAGAACCCTGCCACAGCTGGGTGAACAGCTGGAACATGAACAGCAGAGATCCCCACAGAGATCAGGATCACTGCCCCAGCTGCTGGAACAGCTGGTAACAGAATACACACTGCTGCTCACATCCTGCTTTGCAAGCCAAGACAGGTTCCCAGAGAGTCATCCCAAGCCATTCCCATCCCTTTCCCTCCCTCTTCCAGAGAAACAGGTGTTCCAGCTGCGAGCCCACATGTACCAAGCCAGGAGTTTGTTCGCAGCCGACAGCAGCGGCCTCTCGGATCCCTTCGCGCGGGTCTTCTTCATCTCCCAGAGCCAGTGCACCGAGGTGAACATTCCTGGGATGCAGGGGTGGAGGGATGCAGGGATGGTGACCCCACAGGTTCTGTATTCTCCCGTGGCACAGATCCCATGAACAAGGATTAGGCTGATCCTGGGTTCCTGTGGTGGGAGAGCAGCTCTGGAACTGGAACTGGAACTTTTCCAGATCTCTCCTCAGGAGCTCATTCCCAAAATATCTCCCACACCCTGGTGGCTGCGGTTTCCCGCGATTCCTCGTGATTCCCTGGGATTCCTTGTGATTCCCTGTGATTCCCTGCAAGTTTAGGGAGACCTGGGTAATGCTAAAGTGATTATTCAGTCTTCCCTTCCCTGTCCAAGGGTTGCCAAGCCTTAGGAAGCCTGGACACTGGGAATAATCCAGCTCTGCTCATCTGCTATTGGATTCTTTTCCTCAGAAGAATCTCTGGAAGAATCCAAATGCCTCCCTGACCCAAAAAATGCACAGCAGCCCCACCTGCCACCCTTTCCCAGGATCCTGGTCCGTTCCTGGAGCAGTAGGAATCTTTCCCATTTTCCCAGGTTCTCAACGAGACCCTTTGCCCAACCTGGGACCAGCTCCTGGTGTTTGACAACGTGGAGCTGTACGGGGAAGCTCACGAGATGAGGGATGACCCCCCCATCATCGTCATCGAGATCTACGACCAGGACACCGTGGTAAGAAAATCCCACACGGAATTGTGCATGGTTTGGATGCTGGGATCTCTCCAGATTTGGAGGTGGAGGATTTGGGGAGCTTTTTTCTCCTGATCCTTGGAAAATGGTCCCTCTGCATCTCCCATGGAGCCTCTGGGGCTCATAAATCTCGGATGTGACTGGATGTATCTTATTTTGGGAGAGGGAGGAAAGAGGCTGTGGCCAAGGAGCCTTTCCATTTGGGAAAACTGCTCATCCCCGCCCTCCTTGCTGTCCCAACCTTCAGCTATCCCAAACCTTCAGGGAGTCATGACTGAAAGTTTTTCCCTGAGCTTTGGTGTCCCAAGACCAGAGTGCTGATCCCATTCCCGTTCTGACCATGATGGGGAGAACTGCAGGGCTAATCTTGGAATTCCTATGTTGGATCCCCAAGGGCTCTGGGGAGAACCACAGGGTTAATTTTGGAATTCCCATGTTGGATCCTCAACCCCAAGTGCTCCTGGGGATAACCATGGGGCTAATTTTGGAATTCCAGTGTTGGATCCCTCAACCCCAAATGCTCCTGGGGAGAACCACAAGGTTAATTTTGGAATTCCCATGTTGGATCCTCAACCCCAAATGCTTCTGGGGAGAATCACGAGTGCTCCTGGGCAGAACCATGGGGCTAATTTTGGAATTCTCATGTTGGATCCCCAACCCCAAGTACTCCTAGGGAGAACCACGGGGTAATTTTGGAATTTCCATGTTGGATCCCCAAGTCCAAGTGCTTCTGGGAAGAACCACGGGGCTAATTTTGGCATTTCCATGTTGGATCCTCCACCCCAAAGGCTCTTGGAAAGAACCACAGGGCTAACTTTGGAATTCCAGTGCTGGATCCCCCAACCCCAAGGGCTCCTGGGGAGAACCACAGGACTAATTTTGGAATTCCAGTGCTGGATCCCCCAACCCCAAAGGCTCTTGGGGAGAACCACAGGACTAATTTTGGAATTC